CTTTAAAAATGTGGTGGAACTCCCTGGGTGATGTATAATGACATGGGATCCCATCCACAGGGAGTAGTAATACTCTTAATGTCAGCCTCTGAAACTACCAAGACTGGGGTGACGTCCATCAGCTGTACAAGTCATACCCATATACAGAATTTTCCTTCAACACTTTAAATCTCTAGATCTGATTGTTAATTCTCTCCTTTAGCTGCTACACATTTCCTTGTAAACTAGTTTGGAGATTTTGGTGACAGATCAAGATAACAACTTTTATCTGATAAGTTTGAGTATTCTCATTATCGCTTTGTTGGATAATTAAAAATTATTGCACAAGCGCGCGTTGGATATGAGATGATAGGTAGCCAACGAAGCCGGTAGGGCTGAGTTGGCAATAATCATCTCATATCCAAAAAAACGCAAGTGGAATAATTGTTTTATTAAAATCGCCCCAAAAATATGGATAAATATTTCCAACTTTACATATTAAGAACAAACGCAATTTGTTATGATGTACCAAAACTTGTTCGGTTTAACTCGTTTTCATGTGCGCGCGTGTTATAGTGGCTCTTAACCCATGACGGCTAAGCCAATGAAAATTCTTGAATTGCATTATTCAATGATCCAGTTTTTAATAACGCATGAATATTATTGGGAGCAACGACCTGTCAATTGCTTCTGGGAGTTAAAGGGTTAAGGATATTTGACTTGTAGGTTTGCAAACAGATCTTAATTCTCTGGTATACATTGCAGAGTTCGTCAGAAGGAAGCAGAAGAAGAGGAACTTTCTCGAAGAAATATGGAAGACAGAATGCAGGCCATATTGTGTCTTAAAGGCAACATTGAAGCTAACAAGGTAGGATGAGTAATTTGTTTCCCGTTGCAATAGCAGTTACTGTTAGTTGGAAGTAGCGCTTTACAAGTCTGCCTATGGGTGATGAACAGGTGTGATTCTTTGTTTGTAATCAGCCAGAAACACTCAACTCGGTCGATAAACCAAATTGTCTGTACTAACAGGTTATAAATAGGTATTATGTATGATTTGTAGGAAAATCTCAGGGCCTTGCAAGCCCGTGATGCTAAGTTAAGACAGGAAAAAGAAGAGGAGGAACTGCAGGAAAGACAAGAGATTTTTGCTGAAGGATTAAATCCCGATGAGGAGTTGACAAGAAGAAAAAGGATCAGACAGTTTGAAAAGGATAAAGAGTGAGTAGATAACATGGAAAACTGTAGGGCAATAAATGAACAAAGGGGATAAGTTTCTAAAGAAACTGTGGCGTTGCGTCGTTGACAAGATAATTTGGTTTTGTCAACTGAGTTGATAATGTAGATTGACCACCGTAAAGAGATTCTAAAGCTGACGTATTGAACGTTAGCCCTTCGTTATTTACATGCTGTGACGAAGGGTAACGTGACTTTGAGAAACTCTTTACGGTGATCAACTTACATTATCAAATCAGTTGATAAAACCAAATTATCCTGTACGATGATAGCATGGTCTTCATTTTATTCAGTTATACCCATCATCTATAAGCAGTGGCAAAAGTCAGACTGTTTTCTCTTTTTGTTACCTTTACTTGTGTTATTTTTGGTTGGTAACATTTACCTGATGTTTTTTACAGCTTGTTTATGCTTCAATTATTAATTTAAAGAGATACCTTAGATGTCGACTTGAAAAGCTTTTCATTGCTACAATAGCGGCATTCAAATCTCTGGAGAAAACAAGTGGATTCACTTCAACTTTTTCAAGTATTTCAGTCCCAGTTGTGTTTCAATGAGGTTATCTAGGCATGGAAAAAGTATTATATTGCTTAACTATTGTGAACAGTATGCCTTCAGATTTGTCAATGAATACTTGTGTGAGGGGCTTTTATATGAAAGAGGTCAGCTTTGCCTTCTTAAGAGTTTGTAAGTGTATTACTATAACATTTAATTTTGACACACTTCATATGCTTTTCTTTTCAGAGCATACGAAAGAAGGCAGCGAGAGCGACAGGTAACTTGAAATTACTGTAACTGCAGGGGTTTCAACAAAAGCTAGTTACTGGCGGTCTATTGCCGGCCGCCTCTAAGACCTGTCAGGCACAGCAGCCTATATGTGTATTACTTTATCGGCAACCGCTTATGCAGAAAGTTGACTGTTTAAACCGCTGCAATCCTGCTGTACTTAATAAGGACCACAAATTTTTGGTTTATATTTTAAATTACATTGTCTTCCTTGTGGCTCATCGTTTTTCCATTTTTAGGTTGAAATTGTTGAAAACATACTGAAAGAGGAAAAACAGATGAAAAAGCGCTATCAACAGCAACCTCAGTTATGGCCAGAAAAACAAAGAGAAAGGGTGAAGGTATTGTAAATTTACTAGAGAAAATAATGGGACAGGGTGGGAATACCAGGGTGTTGGGCGGGATATAAGGATTTCACTTACATCTCTTTTAGCTCAGGGCGGTGGTTTCCTAATGAAGTTTATTAATGCCGTAGAAATTTTAATCATAAAAGACCAATATCCTCGCTGTTCGCCAAAGCATCAATCTTACTCAAAGGTTGCTAAGTTTGACTGAAATAGGTTTTTATCAATTTCCGTCAGCGAAAGGCGTTATTCGAAACAAGAAAGCGATGCGTAATATATGCTAGTAAACATTAACACAACAGCCATTTGATTCAGTGAAACGCGACTCTCACGGCCTCACAGCAAATTATTTCATTTTGATCTTTATCTCAATCGATGGTGGAATATTCACAGCGCGTGGATATTTTGTGAGTTGCTTGGAAATTTACCACAGTAACATTGAGCATAGTGTCCGTGCGCATTACATGTTAAACTCTTAAGTAGGGGAAGAGTGAGTGTAACCCATATTATCTGTCTATCTGTGGAAGGCAGATGCAAATGACATTGCTATCTCATATTTTGCGCGTTGCTCCTTATACATGCATCATAAAATAACTGTGTAATGGAATTATAGATATACCTTTTTACATTATTTGTGAGAGAACTGGTAGACTTGTCACAAACTTAGTAAAAAATTTATCACAAGAATCTTTATTTGTTACAGAGGATAAGCAGGCGACGTCCCAAACCAAAGTTTTTCAAATCAACCAGTGGATCATCTTCTGTGGAGTACAGTGCAGATGTGGAAGATACAGGGGTAGGGATAACACTAAGCTACTTTATTCAGAAAAAGGAACACAAGACTTAACAATAAATAAGTGATTCCATAGCAACAAGTTAAAACGTAAATGTAGCAGCTATTAAAGATTCGGCTGAAGAATCATGCCATTTCTACGAAGATCCTAGTAGTGTTAAACTTTTTAAACAATGAATTCTTACATTTTTTCAGTGATGTCTTTTTTGATAGTATACTCTGCCTAAGATCTCTTTCTGGGGAGAAAAATAGTAACTCTTCAAAGATTGACGGTCTATTGATATTGAAGGAACATTAGTTAGTAGCTGCCATGAGAAACTTTCTTATTTAAGTTTTTTTTTTCTCGTGCGATTTTGGTCTTTTCTGCGCTTTTTAGTAAAACTTCCTCGCTAACTGGCATGCTGTGGTCAGAATTCATCTTGTAAGAAACTCTTCTGCTCTGGTAGAAATACACGATGTAAAGGTAATTTCAATTAAAAAGTTCCCAAGGAAGGAGGAAGTCGAAACATCTTAAACAATTTTGACATCTGACGGAAGTTTTGCCAACGTAAGCGATATTCGTCATCAGAGACGGCGGTGACAATGCCTTTGACTTTCGCAACACCAGTCACTGTTAAAGCAATATTCAATTGCGCGTCGAAAGTAATCAATAGTTTTTTTTTTTCCAGTTTGCTCTGTGTTTGTTCAGAAAACTTGCGCTACTTGCTCAACCAATCAGATGCCAAGCTAAAGCCGATCACAACTTGGTCGCCCGCGTTTTCCCGCGCTTTGTGCAGTTTGGTTGGTTTTATTTGGAGTTCTCATTGGCTCATACATGTCTTTTCCTTTCTTCTGATTGGCCGTTGTGATTGCTTTCAGGGTCAACATACACCAGGAAAGCTTGGTGCAGTATCTTCAGAAGATGACGAAGATGATTTTTCCCCGTATGGAGAGACAAGTAGAGATGAAGCCAAGGAAGGGTTAGTATCTCATAGAATACTTCTGTCTTTTATCGATATTCGGCATCTAAAAATTTGCTCTGTCATCGTGTTTCAACCATTATTATCTTTGTCTAATTTGTCCAGTGACTCAGAAGCTGAAGGAGAAGAACTGGCCCAACCAGAATTTAGGGGATTATGGGAAGAGGGCGTTCATAAGGTAAGTTAAACCTGTCGACCAATCAAATGCCAGACTAAAACCAAGCGTGATATTTTCACTCGCCTTTTCCCGCGCTTCAGACAATTAACTTGTTTATACCTTAATTCTCATCGGCACCATGTGCTATTTCGTTTGTTCTGAGAGGCGGTTTTGATTAATTTGCTTTTGGTTTTAGGAGAGTCATCTGAAATACGCTTTATCACTAGTAACTGATCAGGTCTTACTGCGCCGTTCATTAAAACATGCGTTTTGCCCTGCCTGTCTAAGTAGCATTACTACTGACTAACCCGAAGTAGTTTGAAAATGGTTGGTTAAAATGAAATTGTGTTATATTTTTCAGGCATCTGAGAAAAAGGAGCACAGATTTAAATTTGCAACTCACATTCCTAGTAAAATGGAACAGGTAAAACTTTGATAACAGCTGTTATTTAGATCTTGAGTTCTCTAATAGAGAAAAAAATATTAGTTCGCATTTTGAAATTCTTCATTCTTCATTGAAAAGAAAGTCATTACATATGCATCGGCTAATGTGTTCAAAAAGGTTAGAACGCTTCAGGTAAGTCTCCCGTTTCTTTTTTCTCTGTCCTTTCATTCATATTCTGTTGAATATACCACCCAAAAAACTGAAAAATTAAACAAACGTTTGGGGATGAGAAATTGGATGTTATTAGCCCAAATCATTGATAAAAATTTAAAGCTTTCACCAACTTATTGAGTTCCGATTGTACCGAGTCACCTTTCAGAGTGAATTTTACCCACTACTTTAATCAAATATTTTCTTTTAGAGTTTATCTGGTGACGTTTTTTAATTCGATGTTTTGTACAGGAGATGATGGAAAGAGCTCTCATGAAACAGAGAGCAGGGATTGTTCAGAAACAAGTAGCTGCTGGAAGAGAATTTAAGGTTTGTGTGCATTGTGGGAATTGTTACTAACTTATTGGACCTGCCTTACGACTTACTGACAAAGTCTTTCTTTTTGTGGTGCACGAACCGAACATGAAGGAGACTTAAGATATTAATCGAACAAGACTGAAAACCATCAAAAGGGACAAAAATGAACTAAGAAGGAGCAAGGATTTCTGAGAATTGGGAGAATTAAAAAGGACTGAAAATCACGAACTAGAAAAATTTTAGGCCTAATGTCAAAATATGACAGGTACATATTGATATTTTACCTGTCATATTCAGACTAACCCTACAATGCTTCCCTCGCTCCCAAACATTTCTCTTCTGAAAAAAGTGGGCGCACTGGAGGAAGGGACCGCGAGAGAGGAAGAAACCCTAAATTTGTTATCTCTCTTATAGTCCTTCGCGATTCGTGCGCGGTATATTTTTACCTCTTCGTTTTTTTTTTATTATTATTAAGTATTATTCTGAAATTCATCTTGTACTCAGAGGCCTTTCTCTATGGTGCTATCATTGATTTGAAATATGATGGCATGGCTAAGTTATTTTCTGCATTTGCATCCTAGAGGGTGGGTTTCCTGACTGATTTCAAACGACCGAAACTGGAATCAAGTTTGACTCACAAACGTTCCAACTGATAATTCTCTTCCTATTGTTCTCTGCAGGGTTGTGCTTTTTACAGTAAACCTGAGGTCATCGTATTTAAGGTGTGTGTACCGGCGGGAAAGTGACTTATTGTCCTATTACAATGATTCAGTGGTTACGAGAATATTAAAACCAGCTGCTTGGCAACTGAAACATGCGTAATAATTTTTTTCTCTAGGACTTTGACGTCGGGAAATCCTATAAGAAGAAAATTCTTTTAACAAACATATCATACACTCAGAACTACTGCAAATATGTTGGCATGTCTCATATCCTGAAAGACTTCATCGAAGTGTTGTAAGTAAACGTCCTGTTTATTACCGTCTAAGAAAAGAAATAAAAATTGCGCTCGAGAGCGGTTCGTATTGCTGCATGAGTGTATCACAGTATCTGTATCGTAAAGAGACTCAGCGGATTGTTATTCCCCCCGGATAGGATGCGAGTCGATCGCAGGTTACCATCCCCTCCCCATCCCCCACCATTTTAACAGTTTTAACTGCCAGTTCACTGTGACCCATTTATGCTCTTGTCGGAAGAGAGGGACTGTGAAATTTGTGAAAATAAAGTATCAGGAGTACAGCATACAGACCAGGGTTCATGCTCGGACACCTCGATGCGGATTCCAGCGCGCTATCGATTAGGATAACTTGTCTTACACGAACCAAAACCATAAGTTGATTTTTACTCGGCAATGAAAATACACCTACAAAACATTTTGTTTTCGTTTATGTTTCATTAGTTTCGATCCACCAGGAGTGATGTCAGCTGGTCTAACTTGTGATTTTGCAGTGACTTTCAAACCAATGGTGAGTTTCAAAGGCCTTCATAGTGAGTTGATTTCTTTTGATATCATGGAAAGGTTAACTTGACATTGTGAACGTGTGTTTTTTTTCTTATTATACCCTTGTACAGCTGAATGAAGACTTGGTGGGCCACATAGATTTCCTTGCCCAAACAGGACCCTTTTCAGTTCCAATTCGATGTGTCACAAAGAAATGTCAGGTACTGTTCTTTAACATTTTTACCGTAATTCTGGTATAAGTTTTTTTTTTTGAAGTGTCGTAAAACTCACATCAACGCTTTCACAATAGCCACTCAGAGCAAAGGAAAATACATTAAGGAGCTGATGAACATCAAATTAAGACACATTTTTGTTTTACTTCACAACGACATGCCTGGTGATTCTCAAGTGAAAGATGATGTTATTCATTGAAGGACAGGCATACTCGGAAAAAAAGAACTTCGAATACCCCCAATACGAGTGAAACCTACCACCTTTCAATTAGGAAGGGGCAGCCTGGACGGAAGAGAATTTTACAAGAAGCAAATGAGATCTTTAAGTAAAAGCGTGAAGCAGCTTCAAGCGCGGAAAAAGTTCGGACGAGTCCCAGTTGTTTTACTTATGGTTTTGTATTTGATTCTATAAAAAAGGTCCCGCGCTGAGTATCTTGAAATAATGGCAGAGTGAATTAAAACCAGTACAATCGAAGTGTCACTGTTCGATTGTACTGGTTTTGACTTCCGACACTCAATCGAAAACGATCTTTCAGTGCAGGGGCTTCATTGAGAGCCGGTTACAAACGGTCTACCGCCACCCATGAGACTCTTACCACCGTCTTTTTAGTTTGCGAGTACGCCCTTATGTTTGGGTTTCGTTTAACTGTCCCTTTTCGCGCACAGCTGCCTTTTACACCATCGGCGGTAGCTGCTTATGGAAAAGGTTATTAAAAAACCCCTGCACTGATGTTTTTACTGCTAATTGTATAACGGATTCTTATGTCATAGCCTTAACTATGGTTTGCAGATCGCTTTGTATATTGTGAATCTCAGTAGAAATTCTGCCCAACGAGTTCTTTTGTAGGTCGGCTTTTAATGTAAACTGTACCTCAGATTTCAGAGGATGTCACCGAAGTTGAATTTGGAAGTCAAGTCTTGGGAGAAACCAGGAAGAGAATTATAAACGTTACGAATAATGGAGCGTTAGGAACTCAATTTACATTCAGAAAGATAACAGGTATTTCACTTCAGTTTCGTTTAAAAAGCCATGTTCATCTGAAGTGAGTCTATGACACAAACTAAGCTGAGAAGACTGGGTTTGATTGTCAAAGTCGAGGCGTAACGTTAGAATACGCCCATATATTCAAGGCAATCAAGCGAGCGCTTACAAAGGACGAGAACTCACCGTGACAGCGGTACTTTTTCACTTTCATACGCCGCGGTTCTTTCAAGAGAGCGTGCATCTCAAACGTAACAATCAAACACTAAAAAAAGTAGAGCGTGCGACACAAACGTAACAATCAAACACTAAAAAATTAGAGCCTGCGACACACACGTAATAATCAAACACTTAATACAGAGAGTGCGCATCACTAACATAACAGTGAAACACTGATCAAAGAGAACTCATTAACGTTAGACACTTAACAAAGAGAGCGCGCGTCAATAACGTGACAATTAAACTCTAAACAGAGAGTGCGCATCGCTAACGTAAGATTCAAACACAAAACAAAGAGAGCGCGCATCGCCAACGTAATAGTCAAACACCAAACAAAGAAAGCGTGCATCATTTTAACTTAAGAATCAAACACCAAACAAAGGTAGCGCGCATTACTAACGTAACAGTCAAGTACTAAACAAAGAGAGCGCGCAACACTATCGTAAGAGTCAAACACCAAACAAAGAGTGCACAAATTACTAACGTAACAGTTAAACACTAAACAAAGAGAGCGTGCATCACTGACGTAACAATCAAAAAACGAAACAAGAGAAAGCGTATCACTAACGTAACTATCAGACACGTAACAAAGAGGGCGTGTCACTAATCTAACAATAAAACACTTAACAAAGAAAGTGCGCATCACAAGCGTAACAGTCAAACACTTAGCAACGAGTGCGCGCCTTACTAACGTAACAATCAAACACTAAACAAAAAGAGCTCGCATCACAAACATAACAATCAGACACTCAACAGAGAGCGCGTTTAACTAACGTAACAATCAAATACTAAAAAAAGAGAGCGCGCATCGCTAACATAACAGCCAAGCACTGAAAAAAGAAAGCGGGCATTGCTAACCTAAGAATCAAACACAAAACAAAGGTAGCGCGCATTCCTAACGTAACAGTCAGACACTCAACAGAGAGCACTTGTAACTAACATGACAGTGAAACACTAAAAAAGAAAGCTTGCATCACTAACCTAAGAAACAATTAAAGAGAGCGCGCATTACTAACGTAACAGTCAAGCACCAAACAAAGAGAGCGCGCAACACTAACGTGACAAATGGCATCCCGTCTGCTTTGTCTTTTAAAATGTGCTATTACTGAAAATCCTGTACATATTCTAATCAGCCTAAATCCCCGCTTATGCTGGAAGGGATGGGAGTTTTTGGAACGTGTCAAAGCTTAAAAGAAATGATGTTACTGAAATTTTTTGACAATTTTCTAACTACGTGATAGTGAGAAAGGAAGAGAAATTTTCAGTTTTTAAGGGAAGAGTGAAGCAATTATTCTGCTCTTCTTTTTTCGCAGGCTTGGCGAGATCGCTCTCCTCTTCAGAGCTGAGTTCTATCGGCGGAATGGTATGTGGAACTCTTTTGTTTCAGTAAAGATAATTTGGTTTTATCAACTGAGTTGATGATGTAAATTGACCACCCTAAAGAGTTTCTTAAGCTGAAGTTTCGAGCTTTAGTCCTTCGTCGAAGAAAGGCGAACGCTCAAAACTTTAGCTTTAGAAACTCTTTCCAGTGGCCGATTTACATTATCAACTCAGTTTATAAAACTGAATTATCTTGTAATACCCTCTACCCTCCGCCACTGACACAGCACCACAGTTTCTTTAGAAACCTATCCCCCTTTTTTTAGTTGGTGAGACTGACTGTCTGTGTAGAGGATGGCGCAGCACAAAAATGAATTGTACGGCAATTTTTCATCATTTGATAGTGTTTTTGTATCGTCTTTCGATCAATGGTATTATGTTGTCGAAATCTGACAGCCATACAGACTCAGAGGGCCAATTTTGTAATGAAATTTAACGTAAATTTGCAGTTTTTGTTTATCAGTCTCATGTAATATTCCCCAACTGTCTCCTAGACTGTAACGGACGTGAATGTGACTCAGCAAGACTCCAACCCGACGGAGCTACAGGTTCCCCCTGAGGGGATGGCAGAAGACGCAAAAGAACCTCAAGGGGCTGGTGTAACAGAAATTCCTAGTGAACCAGGTCAACAAGGTAGTCCGGCCCAAGTCGTATGTCGACGTTTATATAAGATCACTTTTGTTTTTATGCCGAGAGAAAACAAAACGTGTGGCAAAATGTACTTTGAGCTCACGACAATGCCACTGTTATAGATGATTCGACATAGACACTACCAAGGAAATTGATTGTATAAGGGTTATGGAAAATCTTAATAAACTAAGTTTGTCGTGACAATTTCGTTGACAAGTCCTCTTCGTTAACGTTTACAACAAACGATAGAGGTGCTAGAATCTCTTTGATACGGCTCGGTATCGAAAAAACCGTTGCTCTTGTAGCAGAGACACATCTGGTGTCACTCGTTTGTTTCTGTTTTTTATAACTTTTGTTGTTCTTTACAGAGGGCGAAAGCCCGGAGAAGGCCTTAGAGCCCAGATCTGGTAGTGCTGTTAAGTTCGAGAAGGGATTGGCAACTACTGAAGGCGAAGTTCACGCCCCAGCAGAAGAGACTGGAGACCAGCTAGATGGTTTGTGGTGTAGTTTTTCAATTAAATACCAAAACTCATGACCAGCATATCTGTTTTGACTATACATTTTCTTCTTTCATATATCAGTTGATCTGACCTCAGCAGCACCTCAGACTATCTCATCAATCCCTACAGAAACCTCTATATTAGAAGGTCTCAGAGTCGGAAAGGTGAATATAATATGTGTTGTTCTTCAGTGCTGTTACGACAACTTATATGTCTTGGAATTGTTTGCCTAAGGATGAATTTAAGATTCACAGCTATGATCCTATACCAAGTATGCCAACTAGGTTTAGTTTATGTGTCTTCGTAGTTTAGCTATATATTTTCTTTTTCTTCTATCAACAGGTTTCTTCTGGAGAAATTGCACCGTTTTCTTTAGTCCAGGTGGAAGTGGTATTTAATCCTACCAAGTCAGGCAACGCCCTCGCCGAGTTTGAGATATCCTTTTCAGATCCACTCTCACCCCCGGTAAGTGAAAGCTTTGTGCGTAACACCGTCCTCTTAGGTTGAAAGTTGCTCGGTTTCATTCTGCCTGGTGAAAGGAAATTACTTAGCGATTAGATTTTTCCATTCAGGGAATACCTCCCTTGACTAGTAAAAGTGTCCCCTGAATGGAGTTGAAAATAGTGACAAAGGCCATGAGACCAGCCTTTTTTTCTGTCGGGAGCAAAGTTTGTGTCCCTTTGGATGTTCCAACTGAGACAGTGCCCTGTTAATACTAATAGGCCACTGTTGCGGATGTACTATTTTTTTTTCTATTTTTGTTCGTCTGCAGATAGTGATCCGAGCTCGAGGAACGGGAATCGATGTTCCTGTCTGGGTGGAGAGAGAGGTAACGCGTCATTTTTCTCCCACAAATTTCTGGATGTTGTTCGGGATATCAACCCTTTTCACCCTAACGTCAGTGTGCATATTCTCAATACTGTTCTCCATACGTCTACTAAGGTGCAGACAAGGAGAATTTGTCTAACAATCAAGAGCTTCTTAAGTTGGTGATCATTTCCTTTACTCTCGTGACCTTCATGTGTGTTTTTGAGGGATGATATTGTAAGGAGAAATTAGATGCTAGTCACTCTTAGGATTCAAAGGGTTTAGAGGTTTCGATATTTATTTATATTTCTGTTATTTATCAGAAATTTTAGGGTTAGTTAGAAACATTCATAACTTTTAAGCTGAGCCTGGGTGGAATTTTTCCTTAAAAAAAATACAGTTCTCTGCCAGAATTGCCTGAATATTTTTCGATCAATCGACCTCCTCCTTCATCAGGTCGTCGACTTAAAGATGTGCATGTACGACCGGCTATATCAAGATGCAATACTTGTCAACAATAGAGCCACTTCAGCTCTCAGACTGAAGTTTGAAGTTTGTAAAGAATTGAGGAATCACTTGGAACTGCTTCCCAAGACAGCTTACATACAAGCTGAGTCCCAGTTCTCTGCGCAGCTCAAGTTCCTTCCAAGGTAAGAGGGAGTTACCTTCAGTGCCATGTGAACCTTGACAAGAGCTACAACTTTGACCATAGGCACAACAAATTATGCTGCAAACTGAAATTTTCTACTAATTTTTACTTGTGATTTCTTTGCTTTTCTTTTCCCATAATTTATTTAGCCTGCACTGCTTTGTGGTTAGTTGTAAGAGGTTGTTGACCATTATATGCCTGATTGTGTTTTAGACAAACTCTGCCAGATGACTGTCCCACATACTTTGACGGAGAGAGCAGACTGCTTGAGGCACCTATGGTCGTACGTGTCGCAGATCAGGTTAGTTTACTCCGCACTCTCTAATTAACTAATTTCTTATTTACTTCAGCCTTCGCTTTGGTCTTGGTAAATTAACAGCCAAGAAAAAGCAATCTGTGACAGAAAATTTTGATTTTCGTTTTTCATGCTTGGGCAATGGCACAGATTTCAATAACATCCGGTTGCAAGCGGTCTACTGCCACCTATAAGGCCTCATACCGCCGTCTGTTTAGCTTACGAGCAGGCTTTCGTGTTTTGGTTTTGCCTTACGGCCCCTAAACCTTTTAAGTCTCACTAGTGACCTAAACAGAATTTCTCCCTACTCTATCAGTACAATATCAAGCAAACAAGTAATGAGAATGAAGAAAAATATCAATCAGGGGATTATTGGTTGATCCAATTCCAAATTCTCCAAACTAACATCACAAGAATTGTATGGCAGACAGTAAGGAGAATTACTAATGAGATCTTGGGAGTTAAAGGGTTAACCGAGCATAGCCGTCAATTACAATAACGACAGTCGCTTATAGAAAGAGCTATTGAAATCGCTGCTATGGGATTTCTTTTCTGTGTGTTGTATGTTACATGTGGTGATCTTGTACTCTTGTGCAAGGTTCGTGACAGTGCGTGCACTTGTGAGTGATACTCCTCTACTGTGCTTTTCTTCTGTAATGTGTACAGAAATAACATGATTTGCAACTCTTCGCAGTGGATGCGACGTTTCGTGACATTTTGTACTTTTTTGTAGTTGATGTACGCATGCGTGTGAAAATGTTAGCCTCTCTTGTGAGATTTCGTGTCGCTGTGCGCTTAAATAGCTTCTTTTTTTTTCATTTGTAAGACGCGGCCAGTTCCGTTCACAGTAAGAGCGATAGTGACGTCATCAGATATCGAGTTCAACGTTCAAGCGATTGACTTTGGTTTCTGCACAGTGCTGGAGTCAGTGAGACGAACAGTGACTTTAACTAACAAGTCTGTATTACCTCAACAATTCGGATTTTGTGGAGTTCCTGATGTGAGTAGTGTTTTCATCTGTTCTGTTGCGACTGCACTTAGGAATACGGAAAACTTCAAAACTTAGTAGAATTTAAATTTAGTTCAAGGAAGACTATTGCCTAACAGTGCATCCTTATGAAAGAAAATCAACTTATTTGCAATCACCGATGTGCGTCAGAGCTTAAGATTTTTCAGAGATTTTGAAGTGTGATCCTAACTTTAAACCTCTGTCGCAGAGATTTCGGATTGTCATTTTAAATTAAAACTCCTGGTATTATTCCTTCTCTTAAACATTAATGCCCAGTATTCTGCGCCGATATCTCATAGCTTTGTAATTTTGAATACTTCAGACGGTTGATGTTCAGCCTAATGATGGATTCGGTACCCTGCTGCCATTGGAGAGCTTTGATGTGGACATCATGTTCAACGCCAAAAAAGCTAAAGTGAGTCATGTAATAGAACGGTCAGCGGTGAGAGTGACTTTCAATTAAGTGTCTAAAATGATCCGAGATTATGTTGATTTTGCTTTTCTTCGCCCTGTTTTAGGTTTGAACAAACTCCCGCGACTCTATCAACTGATCAGAAGCAGATCTAAAACCACTTGTGACTTGATCACTTTGCGTTTTCCTTCTCGTTGGCTCCTACTAATACTTTACTTAGTTCTGATCGGCTGTTTTTACTCAATATAAATGCGCCAAGCCATGTATGTACCAGCCAATTGTCTTTGATAAGTTTTCCCTTTACAATTTTACCCATGGCAGTGTAATTGGATACGTGCGACAAGTTTTCATCTGGTTGGGCCACTTGCATGTCAATGACTTATCAAGGACGAAAATTTCCTAGAGCAGATATCGATGAAAAATTGTACCCCGACAAATTTTCTTTGACACGTTTGATATTTAAGAAATGATCCGCGTATGAAAGCTACAAAGTTCATTTCTGCAGTCCCTTTGATTGAACCTCACTTGCTAGGTTATTTCTCTACTGAATATCATCCGTTGGTCAAAATATAATTTACTACATATAATTTTGACAAGCTTTCTTTGCCAAAGTTAGTAGTTAAGGACATTCATTTGGTAACAATATTTTATTTTAGTAAGATTCCTATTCTTACGGGGTCGGAACCGTTCTTTTCTCTCGCTTGTAGGAATATGAGTTTGATCTCACTTGTAAGACTGGCATCGGCCGTGAGTTCAAACTTCACTGTAGAGCAGTGGGCGTCCTTCCTCCGCTGGAACTCTCTCACTCTGTAATCAAAATGAAAGCCACAGCTGTCTCGGATACATGTGCGGCTCACATTGAAGTCATCAACTCTCACACCAGCGCAAATGAATTCACCCATCCAGTGCCCAGAATTGGCTCAGGTCCCATTGTAGAGGTAGGCCCCACGTCGTTCGAATTTATGGTCCCTGCTGATGCACCCCTGACTGTGTCCCCAGCTGTAGGCACTGTCAACGCGGGAGAGGTACGTTTTAAAGTTATTTCTTGTTTATAGGACTTCAACCTTTTTACCCTCAACTCTCGCTTCTCTTCCCCTCGATACGCTGTTTAAAATACACTGAAGGTACGAAAAGACACTTCGTCGCTAGGATTATTCAACAATATTCACTTCTCCTTCGGCAAATAATTGTTAATCAGAGGTAGTTGTAGTCGTAGTCGAAAGTAGTTGAAGTTGGAATTAGAGCTAGAATTGAAGTTACTTTTGGAATTGAAGTTATTTTTGACGTTTAGAAGAAAGCTCTGTGATCCGAGACTCTTGGTACCCTCCGCTTAGCGATTTTGCTCAGGCTAGATTTTCCCTAACGTCCCAACTTCTTGTTGAATTTAACCACAATTACTGCACGAGGTGATCTTGGTTATTAACTATAAGTACACAGGAAACGTGAGACCTTTTCTTCGCCATTCTTCGATAGGTTTTCGACAGACGCGTAATGCATTAGTTTACATTTACAGTAAATCAACGAGATCGAGTCGCACTGCATTTGCCTAATCTCTTGTTGAACTGTGATTGTTAGACTGCAGCTGCCGAGTCGCCTTTTTTTCACTTTCTGTTTGATCACCTGAGTCCGTTCTTGTTTCAGCGCTGCCTTGTTCATGTGACCTTCAGTCCTCGTATGGATCCAAATATGGTGCGACAAGAGGCCGTGCGTATGATGGAACGAGAAGCTGAGGCTGAAAGGAAGAGACTGGAACTAGCGTCACCTCCAGAGAAGCCTCAGGAGCAAAATACAGGACAGGTAAGAGTCCTTGTTAGTAACTTTTCGTTGCTCGCGACAAACAGTGAGTGCTTTTTCGTATCAACTGTGTAGTCGTTTACATTAAGGTTGGATTGAATTTTGCGCAGGGCGGAAGGTAAAGGGGTACCGGCAAAGTATTTGGAAAATTGGCGAAATTCGGGGAGTAACCTGCTATGGACTAGCATCCTGTCCAAGGGGGAGTAGGTATACTTTGCGCTCCAGGTTAACATCCAGCTGTGTGGAGTTGTTTGGTTCTCCATTGCGTATTTAGGTATTGATGAACCTTTACGTGGAGAAGACCTCCTTTCAAAGTACGCAACTTTTGTGGCCACTGAAAAAATTATTCTATAACTTTTGTATCTGAGACTGTCATTGAAGGAATACTTTTAAAGAGGGGGAGGGATGTCCCGCAGACAGAGGCTAAACTGGGTAGCTTTCGGCTTGATTGTTTCGTTTCTTCTTTTCGTTGCTATAACAGAAAAAGAAAGGTGGCAAAGCTCAGGCTGGAAAGAGTGCCAAGGCATCACCAAAGCGAGGAAATACGCCGAGCAACACCAACCTCGCCGCTACCACGAAGACTCCAACCAAAACTTTCACTGTCGCTGATGTAATTGACGGGTGGGTGTTCAAGAACTTACACTTAAATTCCGTATTAGAAGGGCAAATACCCAGCCCAAATAACATTAAACTACATTTGAATTAAGGGGACAGTTTCTAAAGAAACTGTGGTGCTGTGTCGTTTGTGGGGGGAGGGGGCGAAATTTGATTTCATCAACTGAGTTGATAATGTAAACTTCCCATAATAAACAGTTCCTAAAGCTGACGTTTCGAGCGTTAGCCCTTCGTTAGCATGGATGGCGAAAAACTAACGGTTGATTTAAGGGAGAGTAGGAGCAAGAGGTGTTCCAATTAGGTGTCCCATGCCTGCGAATGTAGGCTGTGTTATGAGCATCTTATTACCGCAAGAGTCAATAAAGCCGAAAGAGTAAAAGTAGGTGGATGAAGATGTTTAGATGAGTTAAAAAAAAATTGTTTGTTGTTGTCTTCCAGGTCCAATGAATACGAGTCAGCCCACTTGGCTTTACTCAGGACTTATCAGAATGCGTTCTCTAGATACTTGGTTCCCTGCTTCGTAGCCCCTGGGCGATGTACTGAGCCTAACTCTTTGTCATGCAGGTGAGATTTTCTAGGAGAGATTTTAGCAGATGCCCTTGAGCTGCATTAACGCTGTCACAAATTTGTTAAGAAATATAGGGGGTAGAACTTCCCTTAAGCCATTTAGAATTTTGTTTAAAGGTATCTTGGTCGAGTCTTCTACAATGCATTAACTACTGCGCCGTTTTCTCAAGCTATTCACCGCTTCTTGGCTTAGTTTAGTGATATCTCCAAGATAAGGCGTTGACGAGATGCATTTTCGTTCCTACAAGCATCAAAAATTGTCCTCATGAAGAAAATATCACCGAAACACTTATGATTTTGTCAAATACTCGGGCATAACAAAGTTGGAAGCAACCAAACTTTATTTCGATCCAGGACATCAGTGCCAATTTACCCGACTAATGCGAACAGTGAAATTTGTGAAAAACCTCACAAAGGCATTGGTGTGGTTGGAAAACATTTTATTGGTGTCGCAGGCGTAAACCTGATCTTCAGCTGTGAATATTATTTTCTGCTTGAATATTCGTGCGTAAATATTAACATCGTTTCTCTCTGTTTCTTTCACAGTGTTCACAACACGATCTATCTAGAGGTTCACTGCCCGGCCGTCCGGCCCCATTTGGTGGTCGTATCTGACAGTGGAAGATCTGTTGTGGACTTTGCAAATGTGTCCCTTGGTAAGATAAAAAAATATATTGTTGTGCTCGTGAGTTGCGTCAAGGAAAAGAATTTTCCGCACAGAAACTTTATTTTTTCATCAGTCAGCTATCCATCAGCGTTATTCTGTTGTCCACGTTAACTTAACTCCCAAGATCTGATTGTTAATTCTCCCCTCTGGCTAATACACATTTCCTAGTAAAGTAGTCACAAGAATTTTTTGTCAGATCAAGATGACAACTTCTACCTGATGAGTTTGAGTATTCTCATTACTTGTTTGCTGGATAATGTATGGATATTATAGGGAGAAGTTAAATATTGATCAATTTAAAGGGTCAAAACAAAGAATCTGTTAGTGGAAAAGTTTCACAATAATAGTGTCGTTTTTTTTAGTGATCCTTTATACGTTGTGAGCGGTGTTACAGCTCGTAACTTGACGCCAAAACTTTGAAGACCTTTTGATGTAATTTTGGTTTGTGATGGTTGTATTGTTTCTTATATTTTTCTCCCTGCTTGTTTGTGTTTTACAAAGGTCGATCGGAGATTAAAAGTTTCACCATTCAAAATATTTCTGACGAACCAATAAAGGTGAGAAACACTGAAAAATGCTACAAAGTAATGCTACCAGTAATCATGGTAGAATAGTCCGAATTGGTACCAAAATTCAGCAGTAAACTTTCAGCTTCAGGAAGAGTCTCTAGGGAACTGACTAAAGAGTCTGTGGAGTTTGCTTCCTAGCTACGTAATGGATGTTAAGAGTTTTAACGCTGTGTTTCTTGTCTGGGCTTGTTCTCTGTGCTCTTTACGAAGTCTTCATTTTTTTAAAATATTTGTTTAATTCTATACTTACTTGTTCACGGTTGCTAAGTATTGTCACACACTCTCTTTTTTATGTTCCGCTTTTCAGTTGAGCTCCTCGTTACTAGATCCTCACGGTCCTTTTCAGATGTTGAACGCATTAAGGACCTTGGATCCCCAAGCGACTCATACCGTGATTGTGTCGTTCGGTCCTAACGCTCCCAAAGAGGTAAGATTTCGACTTTGTGGGGTGAAACTAGAGAAAGAACATGAATATCAGGATTTGAAGAACCAAGAGCGTTTTTTATTTGCAATCCATGTTAATCTTCGTCATTTCTAACCACAGATAACCAGTTATCATTGTAGAATAGCCTCATTTTGAAATTTTAAAATTCATCATTCAACTATTGGCTTCAGGGAGAGTCTCCGAGGGACTGACCATAGAGTTTGAAGACTTTGTTCCCATAGTTTATTGGTGAATGTTGTTCGTAAAGTTTTGATATCAAGCTTCGATCTTCTGCGTGCTGAATTTCTGATAAATTTTCCTTTCGTGTTTGATTTTTTTGATGTTTTTTGTGTTTAGATAAACCATCTTTCTCTATAACCTATTATTGTGTAGTTACCGCTAAACGAGTATAAAATCAAGTTAACATAGAACAATAACGTTAAAACAGCGTTACCTAGCAAAATTACTAAGAAAGAAACAGCTGGTCAAATGCGGCCTCTGTTTCGATGAGACCACATTCCTTCTTCTCGACCACTAGAAAAGGGAATTAGGACTCTGGAAACAAGATTGCAATTGTTCTTACTGTCGTTTGGATGTAAATTCAATGAAATTTAGACCCTGCTTCGTGGCCTTAGAGGTTCGAGATAAGCTGTTTCTATTCGCACGTAAGTTAACTCTTACAACCTTTGTCGAGACAATTTTGCAGCGCATTTTTTCACGTAAGTCAACGTTCCCTTATTTGATAAGGGCACTGTTCTAATCGAGCCTTGTCTTTTCCGTCGACACTTAGTTCCATGAGGTCTTAGAAGTGCGGTGCCCCCGGAATACACTATACCTCAGGCTGAAGGGCAGGGGGGTTCAACCTGTGATCTCTCTGTCAGTGGAGGATGGTCTGCTGGACTTAGGAGACGCTCTAGTTGGTGACACGATCTCGTCCAGTTTTAAGGTAAGAAAAAGGAAGAATGTATCGATGAGATAAAATATTTTTAGAGAGTTTTTCTCCCCTTACCCCCTCCAAAGTATCAGGAGGGTTTATGTGCTGATAAATTTGCAGTTGTACCTGTGATGTGAGATGCGATCACTTGATCTGGTTATCGTGCACTTATCAAGAGGTCTCTTTTGGAGTCCGGGGCGAAGTCGCTATGTTGTGTTCTTGGGCATTACGTGCACTAACCTAAATAGACTATTGATTTAGGACGCAAGTACTGGGGCTGAACAAGCGTAGCGGAGTGATGTAGTAAATATAACTTTTAGAGCGAAATATGTCTTATTGAGATGAGTGGTTATATTTTCCTGTTGGTTCAAGCAAAAATGTAGCTAAACAAACCGATTTGCGATCACGTTTGGTTTCTAAAACAGTCTGCTGAGTCGACTTCTCACCCGTGATACTTTTTTTCGTGATTTTGTGGGATCATTGTATAATAAGGTAGCCAGACCTCATTCCCATTTAATCTGTCATCGCCCGTTTCAATGACAAAGAATAAAGATAAGCGGGAACGAGAAGACGTCGTCGTGTCTCAGTATGAGGTTGTTTCTCTGCGTTGGCATGAATATAACGTGGCAATTCTAACGGCTTTCCCTTACTATTTTTCTTATTTGTTCCTGGAAACGTCATCGAACACAGCTACAGTATTTTTCGTCGTAACCCATTTTGCAGAGTTTATTCTAGAACGCGGCTTTGCGTGATTGCTGCAAATCGCAAAAACAATGCCGCAAAAAAGTTACGTACGCAAGGTTTCAAAGAACCATTTTTTGAAACTCAGTATTCGAAAACATACCTGACAGCAACATTGTTATGACACTTGTTGCATAAAATTCACTTAAATTCATGGCCTCGTTCTGTTTGTGTTTCCATTCCCTCAACTTTCTCACTGACTAGACTATACAAATAAGTTCAATCACCCTTTGGAAAACCCCATATCTTGAGCCCCCTCTCTGAAAAAGGGCCTAAAACTAAAGAAAAGGCTCAACTGGACTCTCTTCAGCCAATTTTTAGAATAACTCCTGATTTTGACGGCTGTTTCTTCTTGCAGATATCTAACACTTCAGAGCTGTCAATCACCTATTCACTGAAGCTTGACAGCTTATCTCCATTACGTCACAGCCGAGCGCAAGTGTTACCCAGGTTCCTTCCGCCGTTTAGCGAGATGTCAGAAACTCAACAGCACGCGTTAGGTTAGATTGATATTGTGGAAGCTACCAGTTACGGCTTTTACTGCTGTTGCTATCTTTGATGCTGTGAAATATTTTTTTTCTGGTATTTGTAAAAAAATTGATGTGCTGCGTCGATGTGCTAGTGAAACAGCTGATCTATTACAGAGTAAGAAAGATGATACATTTTGAGATCAGTAAGGAAGTAGAAAAAGACGAGAAAGATATTCTTTTGTCTTGTAGAAAAGAAAAAATTCTGAGTCGCCATGAGGCATAGAGCTTCAGACCTTAGGATTTGTAAAAGCCTGGCTTACCATAGAGTCTTAATGGTTCAGTGTTAGAGCATCGGAGGGCAGAATCCGAAGGTCTGTGGTTCGATTCCTCATCGGGACTCAGAATTGTTTTTCTTCGTCCCACGCTCGTGAAAAGAAAATGAACACCTTTCTCTAATTAGTCCATTTCCAGCAGTTCAGTCGCATGTGCACTAAAAGGTAAAGAAAGGAAAAAACTTAGAGCTGAGAAAGCTTGTAAACGACCCCTGCCGGAATATAGTTACTGTAAACGCTTTCAAATACACTCCAAAACGGTCCCCATAAAGTCATGTACGCTGTTAAGAAAGGATGCTTCTTTACTTTAATCGAGTTTACTATTTCAGTCATACTTAGTGGAGGAAACTGTTTACTTAGCAATATAAAGGATTGTTCGCGAAAAGGCGATGTTACGTTTGTGTCACTCCTTCCACCTGTAGTCAAAACTTGTTTCAATTCTAATGTCAATCATACGTTTGTAAAATTTTCTTTTCTTTTCTGCCAGGTCCGTCGAATTACAATGGGATGGCTGTATTTGACTGTGTTCCTGCTCAAGGTGTGATCGGCCCAGGTACGCGAATAAAATGTGAACATTTCACCAAGCTGAATAATTAACATCATCACATCGCTGGCTTTTAACTGAATTTTTTTGACTCATGTAAGATTTTTATACGTTACAGGCGAGTCTAAAGAGATCACTATCTCTTTCAACCCGGATCACCCAAGTCAGCTTTACGCCGATGAAGTCTCCGTGGAGATAAACAACGGGGTGAGTAAGACTAGACTGTGATCTTGGAAACGTCTGCGCATGTGCGAATGTTGTAATGACTAGGTGACGTGCTTTCAGGCTATCAACATCAAGTTGTCTCACATCAGTTACAAACAACCACACAATGCGTAGTAACGTACAACTTTTTCGGTAAAGCTCAAAACAGATTAGTAAATCAACAAGAAACTCGTGCTTGTGTGCGAAAAGTCTCGAGGTGTCCTTTTCTCTACTTTTGTTTCCTTTTACAGATGTCTATTAATTTTTCAATTTTTTTTTTGCGAGACAGCGTTTGTTTCTTATATTTTCTTTGAAATTCCTGGCGAGAAATTGGCGCGCGCGTGCGGGCCAAAATTTCTCTCCTCGTGCATACCCCACGTTTGACCGCTGTGTTGATGTTGAATGAAGTCGAGAGGCTTCGCGAGAGTTGAGTGTTTGCACATAAAGACAACATAGTCACGTTGGTCACTTCTCAAAGAGGATTTTTCCAAACTGGAGGACAACACGCAAATCATTGGCACAGTGTATATCCTGTTGCATTTACACTTATCCTTGTTATATTCTTATAACTACTGTACGACGAATACAACTTGCTATGGTCTTAATCCGTATCTTTTTGATGTTCATACTTCAGGAGCAGCCCTATTCTGTCCGACTACTGGGCCGCGCCTGGCCAAATATCGTGTACCTGAGGGGCTGGGACGAGTTGATGCCGAGAGCTGAGTCATTACGAGCGGAAGTGGAGGAGGAGGAAGATGAAGGTCAGGTTTCTAGAACAGAAAATTTTGCAGTAGTATTTTTCTTGAGTATTTTATATTTTATGGTGGAAGCTTTTCTTGACTGATTAGATCAAATTTCCCTTGTGTCGTTGCTCTCCTTCGTCTACTATGAATTGCAGGTAATCAATAATTACTTCGCACCCTTAGTTCTTTAGAGTTTCAGGTTCGGGGATTGCCGAACTCGAAAACTGTAAGATTCGGTCAAGTGTCGGGCCTGTGATATGTCGGATTCAGAAACAGCCAGTTGTCAGGTTTGACAAATATTGGGTTTGGGGAGTGCCGAGCTCTTGAAGTGAAGGTTTTCGAAGGTTGGTTAGACTTTGCTCGTAAAAGTCTTGGTGTTTTACACCAATATCCTAAAGCACCCAAGACCTGCGCGCGCTTTATGCGTGCATACATTAACCTTTTACGTCCTAACATCAGTGTGCATATTCCCAATGCAGTTTTCCATACATTTCTTAAGGTGCTGACAAGGAGAATTTGTTTAACAATCAAGAACTTCTTTACCTGGTGATCATTTCCTTTATTCTCATGACCTTAATGTGTGTTTCAGGGGTGATATTGTAAGGAGAAGCTAGATGTCAGTCACTCTTATGGGTCGAAGGGTTAAGATATAGGCTCAGCCCGCCCTTGTTGATAAGAGCCACCTCGCAGGGTTGTTAAGTGCATTTGAATGTATGCAGACATGAATTGCGCACTTTTAACATCAACATCATTGCTACAATTTTTTTTTCAGAGGGAAAAGCAATCCAGAAAACAGTTCTGCTTACAATGAAGAGCGTATCAACTCCTGATGGATATGAGGCTGTGGAAAGAGCCGTGGAAATTGGCTGTATTAAGTCCAGTATACAAACTAAAAAGGTACATGAAAACTTCATCCTTAAATACGCCATAGAAAACCGTAACATTTTTTTTTAAATACTAATCTTTGTGTTTGTTTTCCGTTCAGTCAAGTGACTTTTACTTCGACAATCCCAAAGAAGCTAACGAACTGGGATTCTCCTTTGAGCCTCAAAAGGTTTGTTTGTTGTTTTTGTTACGTCACTGTCCCTGAGAAAAGTCGTTTTCAGTACCACTCTCGCGCAAATTACTCTACATGATTGAAAATTATTTTTCGCCCCTTATTTGGTAATATTTAGTTTTTTTTCTGATTATGAGCGTTGCCGTATTTAATTTTGTTCCACGAAGGTCTGGCTAGCTGTTTATATCTTATTTATTTATTTATTTATTTATTTATGCATTGTTTTATTTATGCTATTTAAGGCGGGAGTTGACATTGGCGTGAAAAAGAACATTGTGTTTCGATGGCAACCGCCAGCTGGGCATGATGTAAGTATTCTTCACTTGAGTTTCATTTCCTCTTTTAAAGAGGCACGTCGTCTTTTGAGGAAGATTATCTCTTGCTTCAAATAGGCATGTGCCTTTTTTATTTCTGAAAGCCTATCCGTTTCAAATTAAGGTGTGGTACAAACTTTTTTTTTTGGAAAAATGAATGTTATTACATGAGAACGTAGAAGTCATTTCATATCAAGACCTTCGTGCTTTCACTAATTGTAATATCTCCAGCGTAGTGTATTCGGTAAATAACCCTTTCGAGTGAGGCGACCATTTTTGGTCCTGAGTATAAAACGTCCTGTTCCTGCACGTCTAGCTTCACAGCTAAAACAAGTTTGCTTGAGTAAAAAGAAATATTTTTATTCCCGGGGACATTAAATGGTCGTCGATAGATAAGAGTCCATTCCAAATGAAGCGGTCCCAAGAGGGAGACGTAGAATGACTGCCAAGTCTAAAAGCCTCACCTCTTTAAAAAAGTAACAACACAGCCTGAACACATTTGATGATAAAAAAATGTAAGTCTCTCTTACACGCCAAGTTGTCCACGCAACTTGAACGTATGCTGATGAAGACTACGACTGGGGTATTACCACTCCCTTTGGATAAGATGCAACTTCATTGAAGGTACCACATTCCTCCCCTCCCTCAGCTCTTCACAGGGTTCCCACCCATACCCCCTGGGTAGACAGAACCATTGTGAAAGTCTGGTATCTTGCCTTAAAATACAACACAAACAGCTAGACCAGAACTCAAACCCACACTTTTCGAACCGCATTCCAGTTTATTGAGCCTGCGAGAAGGGTCTCGTGTCGGGGTTTCGCCTTGCGGCACAGCTGCCTATTACACCTGGCGTTTATGGAAAAAGTTATTGAAATCTCTGCTACTTTTCCGGTTAACGGTATAATTTCCTTTCTGTTTGTCACAGCCTAATGAACCTGTTAATACCAGTACTATGGTAAGTTTATTGTGTGATCTTTTTAGTTTTGGTTACATTCATTGTCTTAAACGTTCGCTTGTTCTTCCCGGTTATGTCTTACTCAAAAAACATGAGGTGAAAGTGATTCAAAACACACCATTTTCGCAAAATCGCGAGGTTTTAGTGTTACGAAATATAGTTTTTTCGCTGCGAGTTTGAATGGTCAGGTACTCCATAAAATGCTTTTACTTTAAGCAGTCAATTCTTCGGGTTACTGATATACAGGTTGAGCGAGAGACATCTTAGTCAGGCATAG